TTTAACAGGAAGCCAAAACAGGAGAAATCTGCTCTCTCTTTCTAGTCCCTGTCAAAACACAACTAAACACTGTTTTCTTTTAATAAATAAAATGCACAGATTTTGTATTATGTAGCTAAGTGATGCAGTTTTGAATATTTGTTGTTGTTACTTCCAGTAAATGTTTTCCTTGTTACTTTTCTTTTGCCAGAAACTAGCCTGCTGTTGTATTTAGGGTCAGCTTCACAGGTACAGACAGTGTATGGTTGTAATCCAGTAATATCACAGGTCCCCCCATCAGGCTGTAGCTTTATGATGCCTGTAACAGAATTTTCATTAGTGGTGTCTGATTTGAAATCTGTTTAAACTTCAGACGACTGGTTCTCAGGAGCTGAAGATGAAAACATCAGTTATAGCAATCAGAGATGCTCTCTTTGTGAGCTTTCCTGTACAGCATGCATGACATGAATGCAGATGCTTCTCATGCAACTCTTTAGAAAGCATAACAGGTTGGAGATCACAGTATCTCAAAACTTAACTTACTTCTAGTTTTTCTGTCACTGATAGATTGGGCACGACACCTGCAGTCATAATAAAGTAAGTGTTAGCACAAGTTTACATCTCACTGGTTGTTTTCCAGCTCAGCTTAATAAAAGTATCAGTTTCTTCTGGTTTTTCCTCCATCTTTACTGTAAGATCTGTTAAAATACAAACAGTGACTTTATCTGTCAGTTTGCATGACATCATCTCGGGAGGAACGCTTTCACTCCTCTGAGGTAAATGAAATGAAACACACCACAGTCAATGTTAATGTGGAGAGCTGGAGTTATCTTATTTGTGACGATGTTGTGCTCTACAGTCAGACCAGTTTAGCTGCAACAGGCTCCAGGTCAGTTAGATTAACCTCCCTCTGTTTACAGCTTTCTAAGAAGACATAACCAATATCTTTTGGGTTTTGACTCAAATGTGGACACACTCAAAAGATTTGAGCTTCTCAGAGACCGCAGGGCATTCACTCGTCTTACGGCAAAAGACCATTCGGATCAGATCGTCTTATAATGTAGCTAAGATGTAAACTTACCACCTGCCAAAGCTTTTACACTGAGACGGAAACACCAGTGTTATTTCTGCAGGAAGAATCTGATGTATTTCACTTGGATTTAAGAACTCTGCACAACATACTTTAAAACGAAGCAAACCTGATAAAACCTCATTACATTTAAAGCAGGTGGATATATTTAATGTTAATTAATGATATATTTAATGTATTTATTTAATGTTTTTGGTGAGACTAAAGGAAGAACACAGGCAGCTTCCTGTAGTGAAGGTTTTGGTCAAAACTGAGCAAATGTCCTCATAAGCAGGTGTGACAGAGATGCTGGGTTTGAGCTGATGTCAAACATATCCAAGGATCCAACTAATCTGTGCTTTCTATGTCATTTTTATCTGAAATGCACAAATATTACTTTTATTTAAAAAATAAAAATCTGAATTAAAATAGAGTAAAACACAAAACCAGGAACAATTGTACTCACTCATCACAGTTGTTAGTTTTATTTTCAGCGCCAATAAATGCAGCATTATGCTCATAGTTACTCCTTCTGTTATCTTGTTGGATTTCCTTGCTGTCACGACGTCGATTATTAATCCAGGTTGAAGACTCACCTGTTCTCAGCTGCATTTGAATAAAGCACCAAATCCACACTTTTAAGCTTAAATTTCAAAACTTACACTAACTACTGATCTTATCTATTTCTGATTTTATCTGTTTTGATTTTATATACTGTTTTGTTTGTTTGTTTGTTTGTTAAGTGGGTTTAGAGCTCTGGGTAGCTCCCCAGCTGGGTCTAGACTGGGTCTAGAGAGTATTTTAAATTCAGGGAATTTAAAATAGAAAGTAGCTCGTCCACAGAAGGACTGGTAGCTCCCCTTACGATAAGGGTTCAGATCGCGCGAACAGGTGTGAAATGTGTGTGTTTAGTTAGTTTGTTTGTTTGCTTGTTTTAATCAATTTTAAATCATACTTTTTATTTGTTTTTGTTTCTAATGTCTCTGTAAAGCACTTTGAATCACCTTGTTGTTGAATTGTGCTATACAAATAAATTTGCCTTGCCTTCTTCACCAGTTCTTAGTCACCAGGGGCTGAATCATCAGTGTCATATAAATGGCTGAATGTGATGTTAAGTGGCCGTTTGAAATGAGCTGTTTGATTGTGGGTAGATGGCAGTTGAGATGGCTGTGGGTGTGGGTGTGGGACTGCTGTTGAAGCAGTAGCTGCTGCTGTGGTGAGGAGGTGACAGATGTGGAGCAGAATGAGAAAATCTTCAGTTAGTGCTATTTATATATAATTAAGAGATAAATAAAGATAAGGTGAAGTATAAGAACAGATCATGATGTACAGTACAGATGAAGGCTGATTTGGGGGCCAGAGGATCCATCAAAGAGTGAAACAGTTACATGTACCTCTGTTAGACAGCAGGAGTAACGCAGGCCTCCTTACTGTTACTGATCACGTCCCATTTTATTACCATACAAACTTCCAACACTGAAATGCTGCTGAATGGCCCTGGGTACGCAACTACTTTATTTGTCTTACTACAAAAAGATGTTTTGATTTTACAAACCTGTCTGCACTCATGTCACCAACGAAAGGAAAAAAAGAATAAAATACTCATGGCTCTGCCACAAAGCAACATTACATTTCTGGAGGTTGGATGGAGGAAATCATGGTTTGCACATGGCTGTTGAACACAGCTAGAACGATGAACCTGGAACTTAAATGTGAAGTTAAACGACTTCAGCTTCAATCGGATTTAGAAAAGTATTTTATTAAACAAATAAGCAAAAATGTATTTTTTATTATATAAATAAATATTAGCTCCATAATTAAGACAGTGAAAAATACTTGACAAAGGATGATTAAGTTGATGTGCTTTATTTAGAATATTTTCCAGCAGGTCTTGGTGGTTATCAGGATAGATGCCTGTATTGTTGAACTATGAACACTGCAGCTGTTCAGATGTTTAGGTCACTTCTGAGGAGGCTGTTACTGTTACTGTTGTGGGTTTTCTCCATTTGTGAATAAAGGAAATGACTGACAGACAGGCTCACGAAGGCTTGTTGAAATCTTTTAGCGTGCTCCATTTTCTCAGGTCGATTCTTTTAAGTGATTCAGCTGGTCTGGCAGTAACCAGATGTGGGCGGGGCTAGTGAACCTGAACTAACTAAATCATTATTGGGGGGCACATAGGTTTGATTGGTAGGTCTGGATGCCTTTTTTCCCTTAATAAATAAAATCATCATTTAAAAAGTGAATTTCATATTTGTTGAATATTAAAATTTGTTTGATGATCTTAAACATGTAAGTGTGATAAATTTCCCCCCTTTTTAAGTCCCCCCTCAAAACCCATCTCTTCCAGACAGTCTACTCTAACGTCTCCATCTTAAACTTTCTTTTATTACTGTGTTTATTTCCTGGTTTGACGCTTGTCTTATTTGCTCTGTGCAGTGTCCCTGGGTGTTTTAAAGGCACTTTTAAATACCATGAATTATTATTATCATTATAAATATGCAAAAACCAAGAAATCGGGAAGGGCAGATACTTAATACTTGACTGTCAGTTTTCACAAACTGAAACTTTGTTTACAGAAAGTCACATTTCCGCTTTGCTACCTCGAACAGGAAACTTCGATTTAAACCACAAAGTTTTCTTTTAACTTTCTATTAGTCAATGTTGATGTCAGCCTCGATGTTAATAATAAAGACACAGCCAGCTGCGTTTAGTGCTTTCAGTGGCTTTTAAATGCATTCACTGTATCATACAGTTCATGATAGTGTCCATCACTGTCACATATATTCTCTCAGCTCATGTTATTATTACTATTTATGACACAAGTGATTATCATAACTTTTAGACAGAACAGTTACAGATGCTTGTTTTTATAGAGAATTAGCTTTTTTGTGATTTCTATATTTCAGATCAAGAACTGAAACTTCATCTTATCAAGTTTATTAATGTAAAAAATAAAAAGCCTATTTTAGGCTGCTGTAAAATATTATGAGTCAGAGCTGATATTTTGTCATAAAAAAGTTTGCTCGTGTGTAGTGAAGCTGCAGCTGGAGTTTCTGGTGATTTCAAGGTAAATCTGAACAATGTTAAATAATCAACAACACGTTCACACATTATTATGTGTTATTATCTTTACATTTATTTACCTGTAATCTAACGCTGATTGAAAACAAAAAAAACCACCCAAATAATTATATTAATTAACGTTGTACACATAATTTTTTATAGTGCATTTTTAATGTTTATTTCAGTAATTAATAGTTTATTTAAGAAAAAAAAACATGGAGATTTGGGTTTAATGTAAACAAAATATTTTTTTATTGCTAAAATGGAAAAATGACCAAATGAAGACTGAACAACGTAAATACTAAAGATAAAGAGTTTATGGAGATTTAGTTTGATGCTCCGCGATGTTCTTGGTTACTGAGCTTCTTTCTGACGCCACCCAGGAGGTCGTGTGTTCATGTAAACTGTGATAAGACAAAGGAAACAACAATAAACATGACAAAGCATCAAACCACAGCACGATTATGAAACATAACTTCTGCTGCAACCAGTTTTATTATACTTACAGTAACTAAAATTAAACTAATAAAATTACTAGGTATGATGAAACATTTTAGTTAGCCAGTTAAAAAATATCTGCAAAAATTAAACCAACAAAATAATGTTGTGACCTGTTGAAACTATTTAAAATAAAGTGAATGTGTACAGCAGGGATGTCCAACTCGGGAGCTGCTGTCCTGCAGCTTTCAGATGCATCCCTGCTCCAACACAGCTCAATCAGATGGATGCATTATCTGTTCAGCATGTCATCAAGTTTGGCAAAAGCCTGATAACAAACCATTCATTGGATGCAGATGTGTTGGAACAAGGATGCATCTAAAAGCTGCAGGACAGCAGCTCTCGAGGACGAGTTGGAATCCTTTGGTTTACAGGAAATAGTCTCAGTTTGAGTCTTTGTAGTTTTGGTGAAACATAACAAACCTGACGAGGCTTTGGTACAGATGCTTTAAGACTTCTGACATCTAGATTTATGTGAGTGACGTGCTTTCACAAAGGGTTGTGTTTTTATGGAAATATCAAATTATTTAGCCTATATTTCCTAAATCTGTGTAATAATTAAAAAGAGAAAAATAACAACTAAAAACTAAATTCAAACTAAATATTTTAATCAATAAAAACGAGACTGAAAGCAAAACAACTCCTGAAACTAAATGAAGGTAAAGAGGATTTAAAACAGAAGGACAAAATTATAAAATAAATACAAAATAATTAAAAAATTCTAAACCAATATAAGACTCTTTACAACTACAAATAGCAACAATGTAGCAAAGTATTAACATTTACATAGTTCATGGTAACAGCAGCTGAATATCTACATACTTGCTTCTGAGGCCACATTTTCATCCTCGTCACTGTGGAGAGAAGATTTACTTAACAGTTAACATCCTACTGTGTGAAAACAGAACATAATTATCACCATAGATAAATGTCATCTATAATAAATTGAAATTCATTTACAACAAACCGTTTTATCACTGATAACAGATGAATATAAACTAACGATGTTGGATGCGTGGCCTTTACCTCCTACGCTTTCTGAGCTTCCTGTAGCACACGCAGGCCGCCAGAAGCAGAGCGGCGGATATGAGGAAGATCAAAAAACCAATGACAGCTTTGTCATTGTCTGAAAACAGGTTCAAACAATATCAAACAGTGGCTTTAATATTCAAGATACAAAGAAGTCATGTTACCCAGCAGAGTAAAGACACCTGTGTGTGTGTGTGTGTGTGTGTTTAAACTGATTTATCCAACAAACTGTGTCATTGAATCCATACTTACAGCGAGTATCAGCTGTTCCTCTGCCCGGTTGGCTTTCAAAGTATCCGTTGAAAACAGTCACCTATAAATACAGATGTTTCAGATGTTCATTCATAAGAAATGACACCATTAAAATAAAGCAGCCATAAAATAATCATATACTTAAAAGTAGGATGATACAAACCTCCACTCTGTATGCTGTAGAGTAGCTCAGATCCTTGAATTCAAACTTACAAACTGTTTCATTCTGTGGTTTGTTTTCACCACCAGGATGAAGACGTGCTATGAATCTTTTATATTTGTCTGGTCCTCTAATGTTGCCTTCATGCTTACACTCTACTTTAATCACATTATTCTCCGGCACAGTTACAGTCACTGTAGGGGAACCGTCGGGTACTGTAAGGAAATGAAAACAGGGATCATAGTTTTAAGATTCATTTTTATGTCCATCAGCAACGAGACAAAACATGTGAAAGTAAACATGTTTATGTTTGCAATGTTAAAACGATTCATAATAGAAATTAATTATTAATTATTGAAGAATTAATTTATCATTTTGTTTTCATGGAGCCCAGCTTACATTTAATGTACAGATATGTAACTTTAAAAAACACGTGAGTGAACTTCAGTTATCTCTTATCATTAAACACATTTTCCCTCCAGAATAATATGAACGAGTAAAGAAAATTAACAAACACATTTCTATAAGTCCCAGAGAACAAGAGTCTGAGTCAGCGCTGCTTAAACGACTGAACGTCATAATTACTGTCACGTTCCTTCACTGATGACTCAGCATGTTTTAATGTTCACCGTAAAGTTTCAGAGAGTCGGATTTAGTTGATATGAGGGATGCTCTCTGTTTCATGGCATTTATCTTAAAATATATATAAATCACATTAATTATGATCAGGACTGTCACACTGAAAAACACATTTGTTTCCAATCTTTCACTAAAATAAATGAGCTCGAGTTTCTTCTTCTTCATGAAAACATCATTTTGTAACTTTATTTTCTGCTGTTCACCACCAAAGTCTTCATGTTGTGTTTTAGAAGGATATTAATAAAAATAAAGCTAAACAAAGTTTGATTTTGATAAATTAAAGGTTCAGCTTTGTTATGAAGTGTAATTCTGAATATTTAGTTTGGTAACTTACCTCCAGGGGCAGTTTTCAGTATAACTTCCTTTTTATTGGAAACCGTCTTGCCGTTGTATTTGGGTTGGACTCTACAGGTATAATCAGTGAATGCTTCGAGTCCAGTAAAATCACACGTTCCTCCGTCAGACTGAAGCTTTGGGATTCCTGTAACATAATGTTCATGAACTCTTTGTGGTTTAAATCAGCAGGTCCAGCTAAAGAGACTTCAGGTGACTTTGACCTGCTGGCTTTAGTAAACACGACAACGACATGAGCAGCAGACTGAACATAACAGGTTGGAGATCTGAGTATAAGATAAGAATGCAGTGACATATCGTTATTTTGGATCATACTTCATGTGTTTAGTGATGGGGGTTAAATGTCAAGCAGTTATATTTAGTAAATTATTAGCTCAAAATATAAACACTTCTATATATTTTAATGATCAAATAAGCAGATCTTTTGTTAACAATAAACAAAAACAAAACTAATACATTTTAATATAAGATATTTATAAAGTGTAAGTGAATCCAAATGATTGGACTTACCTTTTTTATCACAACTGCAGTCATATGAAAATTTGTGAAGGACACCATTACATTTCTGACTGGTTGTTTTCCAGCTCAGTTTAATGGAAGTATTCGTGTTTTTATTCTCCAAGTTTATTGTAAGATCTGTTGAAACAAACAGTAACAGTGCAGCAGCTGTTAGTTTGTGGCACTTCAAACTATCTGAGGAGGAAAAGCTTCATCCCTCTGAGGTAAGTTAAATATCAACACACCACAGTCAGTGTTAAGGTGGACGGGTGGAGTTGTGTAAACTGTGGGGATGTTGTTGTTGAAGATCAGACCAGTACAGCGGTAGTTTCTGAAGGGATCCAGCTCAGACAGCGGTTTGTTCGTTTGACCAGGGTTGTCTTTTTCTGAGGAGAAACAAAGACGACATCATTTTTTGTACCACAGTGCATGCAGCAGTTCATCTTTGGTTTTATATTCAAATGCAGAATACAAAATAAAACAAATTCACAAAGAGCACAAACACTCAGTCCTCTGACAGCAGAAGAGCTTTCAGATCAAACATACTTACAGTGAAGCGGATGTTTCACTTACCTGAACAAGTGTAATGAACTGTGATATTTTTACACTCTTTGATCGTTGGTAACGTTGGCTGTATCACTGCAGGAAGTCCAGTGGAAGGATTTTGCTGTATTTCAGTTAAATTATATAAATCTGTGGAAAAAAACATCATTGAATTATCTTCCTATTATAAGCATATGAGTTTTAATGTAAAGGTAACTTTTCTTGTACAAACCAACAATGATGTTTTTGGTGATATCAAATGAAGTATTCACACAGGTTTCTGAAGTGAAGGTTATTTTGTAATCAGAGCAGATGTCATTAGTTTGGACACACAATGTATTACTGTCACTACTGGACTTATTAACTGGAGTTATATTTGGTGGTAATTTTAACGAGCTGATGTTCCACTGGCTCTGGTAGCAAATATGTCCATTTATGCTGCTTTGCCCTGTAATGTCCGTCTCACCTGAAACACACAAGTGATGCACAAATATATTTGATATTAAGTTTGTTAAACTACAAGAAGGCAAAACACAAAAATATGAATTATTTGTACTCACTCATTTCTTTTGTTTCAGCTTTATTTCCAGTGGAGGTACACTTGATTATTTTATTGCCATAATTGTATAAAACTTGATGCTCATATTCAGTACAGGGCTTCAGGCGTTGGATGTTGTGTTGAGTA